GCCTCTGTGTCCCTCTCAGCCCTGGCTCTGCATGCATGCCCAGGGCCTCTGTGTCCCTCTCAGCCCTGGCTCTGCATGCATGCCCAGAGCCTCTGTGTCCCTCTCAGCCCACACCGGCAGCCATGCCTGTGCCACCTGTGCCATTGTTTGGAGAGAGAACACTGCTGCAAGCCAGAATTCACAGCAGGTTCTGGAGCAGAAAAGAGGATTTGGATGAAGGAAGGACACATTTGCAAGCACAGCTTGGAAGGGCTTTTCTGCATGGAATGCCCAGGGTTCCAGCTTCTCCCTGATTTTTCTCTTGTCTCCCTCTTTTCCCTCCTTGCCACTGCCACTGGTGATCATGCTACACCTGCTGTTGCCTGCTTCTGGTCAACACTGCTCCCCATCATTCCCCACTGAGGCTCCTCTGAGCCTTGGTCTTTGAGTTTGGCTCCAGCTTAATCCTTGGTCCTTTCCCTTTCTGGGGCTTCCACTGTTCCTACCTCCCTACCTCTGCTCCTCACAGATCCCTTCTTGTTTTCCTCAGTGCTGAGGTAGCTGGGCCTTGCCTGGCCTGCTTCCAATGAGAAAGGCAATTAAATATTCATGACTCCCACTGCCCAGAGCCCAGAGGGAGAGAAAGAGGGGATAGGCAAGAGAGAAGATGAAAGGGAAAAGATAGACGAAGGGTCTAGTAGACCAAGGGACCCAGGATTGGCTGGCTCCACCTTGCCTTGAAACCTCAATCCCTTGGGAGTCCTTTTGCCCTCTAGACCATGGGTGGTACCCAGGTGGCTAAAGGAGTAGAGGGTCCCTCTCCCTCTCTGGCACAGACTAGATGAATGACAGAAGGGTAGAGAAAGCAAGAATGCGGTCCTGGAGGCAGCAGACCATCTTTAATTCCTTCCACACCCTAGGCAAAACCCTTCTCTGAGATTGGTTTCTCTGCCCATAAAATGAGGGAGTAGATTCAATGTAGCTCCGATCTTTGCCTCAGGAAGGGTGTAGCATGTCTGGTGGTTATAAGCGAGCCAGACTGCCTGCCTGTAAGCCCGGCCTGCTCTTGCCAGCTCTGTGCCCTGGAGATTCCCCAAGTCCCTTCCTGTAGGGTGTGAGGAATTTAAATGAACGAGTAAGGTGGGGGCACTTAGAGCATCGCTGGCACAGCCAGAGCTCAACAGTGAGAGCTGTCTGCTCCTCTATGAAGCAGTTCTGGACTTGCTGCTTTCAGGTAGCACGTGGAGATGCCAGGCCAAGGGGCTGGGAAGAACCTCCCCACCCCTTCACCCAGCACTAAGAGGCTGCACATACCACAAGGGAGGCAGGTGCAGAGGAGACCCAGAAAGGACAGGTCATACCTGGGCAGTCCTCTGACTACAGTTGCCCCTCCCATCCGTAGCTGCTCCCCCTGGACCACCACCACTGCATCTCTGGAGCTGTCTTCTTTTCACCAAGCCTAGTCACAAGCTAAGGGACAGCACCCAAGCCCTCTCTCTATGCTCAAGCCCAGGACCAGCACAAAATAAACTAAAATAGCCAGGTAGGGCCTTGGGGAAAGAAAGCATTGGAGCAAAGGCCTGAAAGAAGTGAGGGAGAAAAACATGCAGAAGTCGGTGGAGGGAGCCTCCTAAGAAGAGAACAGAAGAAGAACAAAGATCCTGAGATGCTGGGCCCCTGTGGAAGTGGAAGCAGGGTGGCTGGAGGGAGAAGCAGAAGCTCAGGGAGGTGAACCTGGAAGACCACTGGGAAAAGCTTGGCTCTTGCTCTGCAGGAGACGGAAGTCACCTGAGGGTTGTGAGCAGCGGAGTAACAGAGCTGTCATGTTGAATTAGGCTCACTCTGGCTGCTGAGTTGAGAAAAATAGACTAAGTGGGGAGGGAGGAGGAAGGAGGCCAGCTAGGAGGCTCTTTGTAATCTAAGCAGGAGATGATGGTGATCTAGATGAAGGAGCTGCAAGATCTCCCTGGTCCTCCAGCTCTTCTCACCTCTACATATTCTCTCTCTCTCTCTCTCCCTCCCTCTCTCTCAGTTGCATGTGGGCACTTGTCCTGGGGCTTGAACTCAAGCCCTGGGCACTGTCCCTGAGTTTTCTTTTTCTCAAAGCCTACTTTCTCTACCACACCTCCACTTGCAGCTTTTTTTGGTGGTTAATTGGAGATAAGAGTCATGGACTTCGCCGCCCAGGCTGACTTCAAACCTCAATCCACAGATCTCAGCCACCTGATATCTTGGGTTGTTTTGAACTTAATTCAAACATCATGTCACTTTGCCATCACTATTTCAGTACATTTAGATCTAGCTTGAAAGTAGAGCTAAGGTTAGTTGTGGCTGGATGCATTTGTAGGATGGGAGGGAAAGAAGTAAAGGATGACCCAGAGGTTTGACCTGAGTAACACAAAACATGGAGCTGCCATTAACCAGCAGCTTGGGCTGAGGGAGCGGTCAAGAGCTCAGTCTGGTTTGGAAGTTGAAGATGCCACTAGATATCCTAGTGGAGGTGTCTTTCAAGGAGATGGACACATGAATTGCCAAAGGGTCTAGGTCTGAGAGAGAAGAGTAACTCAGCAGTATCTGACAGAGCCAGGGAAGAGAGGAGAAGCCTGATTGAGACAAGGCGATGGGTTTGTGTTGGTGGGCTGTTTGAGGTGTCTAGGGACCTTTGATACATGTTTCCTGATAGGTGCCCGAGTGTCTGGGCTTGGAATTCAAGGGAGGCAGCAGGCCTGGAGACAGACACATGATCACTAAGTCAGAGGTGACATCTGGGATGTCTACAGATAAGAGAACAGGGAAGAAAGGGTGGGTTTGAGGGATGGAATAGAGGTCCTGGAGATCCTGAGAAGGCCTTGGGCAGGGAGGTCTTTACCCATCCTGAGGCTGGTTAAAAAAAAAAAAAAAAGTCAAGGCCAGTATAGAATGTGGCTTCATTCCCAGATGGACACAGGAAAAGTGGAATTATAACCATGCACCATTGTGCATTTCTATGCACAACCCAAGGGGTTCATCTACTCTGTCCAGGTCTACGTGCAGGGCCTAGATTAGAGTCACGGACCCCAGGACTCTGAGGCCTGCGAGGCCTTCTTTCCTACCACTGCCACTGGCTTGCAGAAGTCCCTGTGTTCTTCAAATACAGGCCTTAAGTCATGCTATTACTGGAGTCAACCATGAACATGGCGCAGCAAGACATCCTCAGCAGGCTTCATTTCTGGATCCAGACTAAGCCAGTCTCAAATCTCAGACTATTTCTAGCCAATGGCTTCAGATGACTTCTGTGAGCCTCTGTTTGCTCAGCTGTAACGTGTGCCTCTGTGTGCGTCATTGCTCTTGTCACTTCCTCTCCCCAGGTGAATGTGTACCTGGACCCATAATAGATATTTTTCATCTCTTGTCCTCCACAGCACTACCACCTTCCATCCTGGAGGCGCCATCCCTGTCTCCCTACTTCTAGCACTCCTAGTTTTGTCCACTGCATCACTTGCAGACTCATACTCAGGCCTTACGACCCAACTGAACCTCTTCTGAGCTCTCTACACAGGGCTCATTTGTGCTGTGCCCACCTGAGGGCTCAGACCACTGCGCTGTGTCCATGACCCTCACTGGCCTCAAAGTGTCTAGCACTCACAAGTACTGACGGAGTGGGGTGGAGTGCAGGTGGCCACTTAAGGGGAGTTTCTGGGCTCACCTCCTCCCCTCATGAGTCTGGTCTTTTTTTCACAGACCTAGACTTGGCTGTGCCAGAGACCGCCAGACTGGACAGCAGTTTACACAAGGCCCGGGCCCAGCTGCTGGCCAAGGGCCGGAGACACCGGCCCTCCCGCTCCAGGCTTCGGGACAGTGCCAGCTCTGCTGAGGATGGTGAAGGCTCTGATGGCCCTGGAGGCAAGGTTGGGGCAACACACGCCTAACAACACACCCTGTTGTACCAGCCCTTCAGGGAAGCCTCTGCCCCTAGACAAATGTCAGTGATGCCACAACGATCAGCAGCAGTTCACTTCTGAGTTGACCATCCAGACTGGAGGCCTGGCACAAGTGGGAGAGCTCCAGTCAGGAGCCAAACGAGCCAATCAAAAAAGTGCAAGGCTAGCTGGGTACAGGTAGCTCACACCTGTAATCCCAGGAGGCTGAGATCTGAGAATCACAGTTCCAAGCCAGCCTAGGCTGGAAAGTCTGTGAGATTCTTATCTCCAATTAACCACCCAAAAGTCAGAATTGAGCTGTGGCTGCATTGGTAGAGTACACACACACACACACACACACACACACACACACACACACAAATACCCCATCTTATAGATGGGCTCAGTAATTACCGCATTGTTAGCAAGTGAAGGAGGCAGACCGGCCCTCTTTTGAGTCACCTGGTGTTCCTGAGCCAAAGCTCCTTGTGTAATTGGGATCCCGGGGGGTGGGGTTGGGGGGTGACTCCTGCACACTGGATGGGGTGAAGCAGCCCCTTGCCCTTGGGAAGGGAGGAGGAGCGTTCTCGGTAAGCGGCTGACCCTCTCCCAGGTGACCGATGGCTGTGGGAGTCCCCTGCACCGCCTGCGCTCGCCTTTGCACTCGGGCCCGGGGTCCCCCGCCGGGGGCTCCTTCTGCCTGGAGCCTCCCGGGCTGCGTCGCAGCCTAGACGAGGACGAGCCGCCGCCCTCGCCGCGCACCCGCTACCGACCCCTGCACAATGCCACCTCCCACGAGGGCCTGGCCGCCGCCTCCAGCTCGCCGCCGCGCTCCGCGCCCTCCTCGGACAGCTCGCCCAGCTTCGTGCGCCGCCACCCGCGCGCAGAGCCGCACAGCGAAGGTGAGAGCGACCACCCCTGCTGGTGAGATTCGGAACTGCAGTGGTCCCTGGTCAATACCAACGCGTGGCTGGGCCAGCGCGGAGGCTGAGTAGATGCTGGGAGATGGGGAGAAAGGAACACCAGGGATCCATCATTCATTTAAGGAGAGCTTACTATGTGCCAGACTCCGTTTGCTCCTTAGGACGTAAACAGGGAAAATAGAGTCAGTCCACCCTTGTTCTCTAGTGTATAGTTGGGGGGAGGGGACTAAATCACCTTTTAATTGCATGTATAGTAACAAGCTGTAATAAAAGTCATGCAGGAAATGTGCACAGGTGGCAGAAGAGCCTTTGTCAGAGTACCTTTAGTTGGGAGCATCCTGGAAGGCTTCTCTGAGGAAGTGACATTTACATCAAGATTGGAAAGCTGATTCCAAGTTGGATAAAAGTAACAGTGAATAGCAGTGTTCTAAGTGCCTCACAGTTTGCAAAAGGCATTTCATTAGGTACTATGGAATGGCAAGATTATGCCTATAGTTGAAATGCAGAAGCTCGGGCAGGTAAGGTGAACATATCCTAGCTCTCACACCTAGTGAGCGCCACCAGAGCTAGCTTGCAGGATTCTATATCAAGAGAATTTCTATCAGTTGCATTGACGGCACCTAGCCTGTCTCCTTCCCTCTCTCCTGAAAGATGATAGCCGAGATGCTAGCCCTCCTGAGCCGGCCAGCCCCACCATTGGCCTGGATAAGAAGACTCGCCGGAAGTTCCTGGACCTGGGGTGAGTGAGGGAGGGGTCAGCACATGGTGCTGTTGGGATGTGGGAAACACAGTGGGCTCCTACTCCTCCTGCTCGCTCCACAGGGTCACTCTCCGCCGGGCATCCACTGGCAAGAGCCGGAAGGAGAAGGGCAGCAACCGCCTGTCCATGGGTAGCAGGTGAGAGGTACCCATGACTCCCATCTCCAACTCCTGATTTCCCCTGGCACCCACATCTATGATCTCTCCACAGGGAGTCGGTAGAGGGGTCTGGCAGGTCCGGAGGCTCCCCATTCCTGCCCTTTTCCTGGTTCACAGACAGCGGCAAGGGTTCAGCATCTTCAGGCAGCACCACCTCCCCAACCTGCTCTCCCAAACATGAGGGCTTTAGCCCTAAGAAGTCAGCTTCCCAGGTAAGCGCAGGACTTGGCTTGCCTCAAACTGTCCCACAAGAGTCAGGGGGCATCCTAGTTCAAGCTGGGGAATCCAGGCCTTCCTGGATTCCACTTGTCCATCCACAGAGTCAGTGGTGACCTATTATTCCATCCGTCCTGACTCCATTCATTCCACTGCTCCTGCATTTGCATTGGATTCTGGGAGATTCATTCATCACTTCCTTCGTTCACACTCATCTATCAACCACTACTGCCCTACTACTCTATCTGAGGCTGCCCTTCCTGCCAACTGTTCTTCCTGGCTCAGTTCTGTCACACATGTGAGGAGCGAGGCTACCTGCTTAGTGGCATGATGTTTCTGGGAGTCCAGTAGGGGTACCCATTAGCTAAGACACAAGAGGCTGAGGGTGGCACATTCTGAGCACATCTGATCCAGCTTGAGGGAACACTGATGGGCTGCTTATAGGAAGCACCACATAGCTGGAGACCTCCATTCCTGCTGTTCTGTGTGGCTCAGGTGACTGCCTCCCTCCCAGAAGCCTCGGGTCTTGATGCTTTGCACAAGCCACGACAGCCCATGTCTTCACCTGCCCAGCTCCTGGCTCCCAAACGTGGGTTTGGGGGTGTGTATCTCCCTTGTTTGGGGGGTGAATTCACTCCTCATTGTGCACATCCTTTTCTGTCTAGGAATCCACCCTGAGCGATGACTCCACGCCCCCCAGCAGCAGCCCTAAGATCCCCAGCGGTCCTCGACAGGAGGCTAAGTGTTCCTACCCCTACCACACACTGTCCCAGTCCTCAGACGAGGTGAGCAAGGCTAGCCACCTGCCCCTGGGACCCCGACTCAGGCTTTCCTGGGTGTGTCGGCCAGAGGCTAAGCCCCTTACTCACTGGTTGCTGGTCTCTGCCCCAGTTCCTGGATGAGCCCCTCTCCTCTGTCCAGCACTGGAACAGCCAGCAGGTGGGCCAGTGGCTGCACAGCCTTAACCTAGAGCAGTATGCTGCTGAGTTTGCTGCCCGCCAGGTTGATGGGCCACAGCTGCTGCAGCTGGATGGAAGCAAGCTGAAGGTAGGTCAGTGTGCAAGGGTCAGCCAGAGATCTGGGCAACCTTCAACCTCTCATGCTCACCTTTGACCCTCAGCTCACAATCCCAGGCTGACCTTCAAACTTCCTGTCCAGCCACTGCACAGACTTCTGGGCCAGGCCCTTGTCTAATCTTTGCACTCAAGCAGGGAACCCCAGTCTGACATGAGACACAAGCCCAGCACTTTAGTTTGATCTTCTAGCTTTAGCTCAAGTATTCAAGCTGACCTTGTTCGTTAGGCTGTCACTCAACCTTGGGTGCTGGTGACACAGGAAACTCTCCCCACCGGCTCTGTTCAACCCTCAGTCTCAGCCTGGTGACAGTGGTGTCTTAGGGGGAGAGAAGTTGCTACCGACACCGATGGAGGCATTTCTGGTCTGTAAACAGTCCCCCAGGAACTCTCTGGACATGAGGAGGGTCCTCAACCACTGATGAGCCATTTGACCTTGAACAAGGGTCATGCCAACACTAAATTCTAGAGTGGGGGTATGGGAGTCAAGGACAGAGTAAATGTCCTGGTATCTAGGCCCCAGGTCTGCCAATGGCTTGAAATCTGGATTCTTGCTCAAGGGTTCCAATCACTGGGCAAGTCAAGGTGGGAAGTGGAGGCCACCCTTCAGGGAGGGGTCCCAGGGAACACACATGGGGCAGCAAGAGCCTGGGGCTTGGGGTGGCCCTCTCTGATGGTTCCAGGATTCTCTCCATCACACTGGATCTCTCCTCAGAGCCTGGGGCTCAGCAACTCGCATGACCGGGCACTAGTGAAGCGGAAGCTGAAGGAGCTGGCGGCCGCAGCTGAGAAGGAACGCAAGGCCCAGGAGAAGGCTGCGCGGCAGCGCGAGAAGCTGCGGCGCCGCGAGCAAGAGGCCAAGAAGAGCTAGGGGTGGCAGGGCGGCATTGGCACCTGGGTGTGGGCAGCCGCCAGTGACCACAGGCCTCACCAGGGAGGCGGGGCCTGGACACCAGGCCTGGGGTGGCCTGGCTTCTTGCTCTTGGGGGAGGGGGAGGCTACACCCTCTCACCCTGTGTGGACCTAGAAGCCCTGGGGTGGGAGACCCCAGGGAGAGGGCCCAATAATATACTTGATTTTGAGGACTTGTTTGGCACAGTTCCAGGGGGAGGCAGATGAAGGAAAAGGGCAGAGCCCAGGGCTGAAACAAGTCCAGGAACCCTGAGGATTCTGGATTAGGCTGACATCCTTGGGCCAGGGTGGCGCAGGGCAGCAAGCAAGCCGGCTGCATGCCTGCCTTCCTCCCAGAGGCCCTGTGGCAGGCCAGGGTCTTCAGGCTGGGCATCTTAGCAGGGGTAGGAGGACAGAGCTGTGTCCTCCAGCTCTGAGATGACTGGGCGGGGCGGGGGGAAGCTATTCTGCTAACAGAGAGGTTGGCGGGCACTACAGCAAGTTGCACTCAGGGTAGATTCCCAGCCAACCCCCTAACAGGAGGATAGAGTGTGGTGTGGGACAGGTCCAGCCTCTGCAAGGGCTGTGGGAATAGAAGGGAGGGGAGGGGAAACCTCTTCTCCTTTCCTGCCCTGTGGGTCTCAATGGGTTGGGATGGTAGCCACCCACTGCCCCTCCTACAGTGGGTCTTTGACCCATTCTCTGATCCAGGACCCAGCCAGAGGGCACCTGGGTTCATTGGGGACAGAGAACTCCTCCCCCACCCCCAATGTCCCAACAGTGAACTAGTGACTCCAGCCAGATAGAAGCTGCCTGGAAGCTGCTGGATCAGAAGAGTCCATCATCAGGGGCCTCTGTGGGCTCCAGAATGGGCAAACCACAGGGGCTCTGGTTTGCTGGACTGCAAGGAGAGCCAGGTCAGCCTTAGGTGGGGGTAGAATCTACCAGCAGCTTTGGATACTGTCTTTTTTAGGAAATGTCCAGAGACAAAATCCAGGTATCCATGCTGGCCAGTGGCTGGTCCAGCTTCTGGGGAACTGGCCAGAGTCAGCAATAGGCTCTGTGGTCAGAATGGCTCCACTTTCGCAGTGGCCTGGTAGGGTGGGCAGGACAGTGCATGCCGACTCTTGACTCCTACCCAGCTCTGCGTCTTAGGGCCAGAGTCCTGTCCCTAGGACCAGCACTTTCTGCCCTCTGCCATCTGTGCTGTGAGAAAGGCTTCTGAGGGAAACTGAGGCATAGGGGCACTGGCACAATCTAAGCCTGGCTGAGGGGCTGGAGGCACCTGGGTTCTGGAAGCCATCAGGAGCTAAGTGGGTGCCCCCCTGCATGTGATAGGGGGAGGTGGTCCTTGGTTTCTTCCAATAAACACTTATGACTTGCCAGTGACTCTTCTGTCTGCGCGGATTGAGGGGTGGGTCAGGAACCTGAAGTGTACTGAAGCTCAGGCCTGTCACTGGGTCCTGGGCTTCCAGGTGTTCTGATGGTGTAGTCACATGGACAGATATCGAGCTGGACCAGTATCCCGAGTTCAGTATGTTGCTCATGGGTACTCTGGTCTGCATGGATGTGTGTGTGTGTGTGTCCCCTCCCCCAGCAATGCAGCCAGGCCTCAGTTCTCATTCCATCTCCTCTTTACTGTGGATGTCACTGTCACCATCATGGCCACTGGGAGGAGCACATGGCTTTAACCCCCTGTGTGCTGAGGGGAAAGGTGGGCAATCATGGTTTTAAAAAAAATGGCTATGTACAGAGAGTCCTAGAAAGCCACCCAAGCGCATGTGAGGCACAGTGGGGCTGGGGTCTAGAGCTCAGGCAGGACTGGGGGGTGTGTCCAGTGGGCAGATAAGGGTGTGCCTGAAAAGGACATGCTGGGGAAGGGCTTGAGAGGCTTCACAAACATCGCCAAGGTCATTTGAAGGTCCACGGCTGGAGCAGGCAATCTCTGGTTCTTCCCTGGTTCTTCCCTTTGGGGTGGGCTTTGAGTAGAAAACACTTCCCAACCCTTACCCCTGCCCCAACCCTAATGTCCAGGGTGGAGGGAAAGGCTGTAGAACCAGGTCCCAAACCAGGAGTCATGGATGCATCCCTGCCCCACCAAGTCCAAAGGCTTCTGAACCTTCCCAATACTGACGAAGGACCAGGGCCAGTGTGCCGTAAGGGATGGGGGCACAAGACAAGAGGGACAGCCACTTGGGGGGCCAGGACTGTGCAGGCAGTGAGGAGGACCAGGACTCCTGGCAGAAAAGTAATAGCACTGGTCTGAGAGGACTGTGGTGGGGAAGTGTCTGGGGCGCCCCCAGGGTGAAGCCATCTGCAGCCCACAGGCACTGCCACAGAAACAGGGTCCCAGGGAGACTGCCTAGGGGTCTCCTTGAAGACAGATTGGCACTTAGGGACCACCACAGACTGGTCACCTCAATGACTTCCACAGAGAGCTGGTGATCACGGAAAACCACCCCTGATCCATACAGCCCTGGGGGCTGGGCCGGATCACCCTGGTGGCTAGACCCAGAGAGAGCGGTTGTCCTCTTAGCTCTTAGCTGACCCGGTATGTGGATGTGTTCTTGGGCTCTGTGCTGGGCACACACCAGTCGCCAGCTTCCTGGATGGTCTGGTAGTGACGCCAGGCAGACTTGTTGTATACAGGTAGACGTTCCACCGAGTCTGTGGACAGGGCCTGAAGAGTGCCATGGTCAGCCCTCCCATTTCCCATGCCTTTCCCATTCCTCAGCAGACCAGCCTTTCCCAGATGAGCTGGGCTGGGCTGGTGTCCACCCTCACATCCCACCCCAAGTCAGAGTCAGCTCACCCACTTAACGCTGGTTCAGTCACTAACCCAGGCCTGGAGACCTAAGAAAGGATCTGACTCCTGTCCTGCTTCTGCCCATCCAGAAAGCTGCTGTCTCAAATGGGGAAGAAGGGAGGAAGGGAGGGAAGGGGAAGAGGCTGGGCTGTGACATCATCAGGGTCACCATGGCCTTATTCTTTCAGCTGAATGACAAGACCTCTCTGTGCCCTTTCCATCCAGGCCTAACAGGTCGAGTCCCCAAAAGAAGGGTCTTAATCACAGATCATGGACCCCTGCAATTCCCTATCACAGTGTATATGTCTGGGCTGAGGTTTCACTGGTCAGGGAGCTATAGCTTTGCTCTAATGTTGGAATCAGGAGAGGACGGAGGGATGGCCAGGAACCTACCAGCAGCAAATCCCACCTCCAGTGGGCTCTGTGAGCAGGGGCCCTCACCTTAAGATAGATGACAGCGTCAGTCCCAAAGCCCTCCATGGAGAAGAGCTGTAGGTCTCCCTGGAAGTACTTGGCATAGAGGCGGGAAATGGGGAGCCCATATCCAAAACCAGCCTATAGGGGGAAGGAAGGTAGGGTGACAAAGGGAAGGAACTGAAAACGGATCCAGGGAGCAAAGGGTGCTGAGCAGGGCATGCCCAGGGCTGGGGAGCTAGCGTGGAAAAAGGACCCCTCTGAAGGAAGACAGGCAGTGCAGGTAACATGGAGGCAGGGAGAGCTCTGCCCTGGTGGACCTGAGGCCTGGCCCTGCCTCCCGGCTGGGGGCAGGGCAAGCAGACAAGGAGGTGCTGGCACTTGAAACAAAAAGAAGAGGGAGAGACTCAGGGAAGGTGACAGCAAGGCAAACAGACAGATGGTTGGCAGGGAGGGGGTCATGCACCTGCAGGGGAGAAATAAGAACAGGAGGCCCAGGTCAGGAGAGGGGACTGTTACCACACAGCTGTGCAAGGAGCAGCGTGCTTGGCGATAGGGAAGCCAAGCGGGAGCGTGTGTGTGGGGACTAGAGGAAGCTGCCTCACCAGCGGGGTGCCCCCAGTGCCAGGCTGGGGGGTGGGTGCTGTGGAGTACATGTAACTGAAGAGCCGCTCAATCTTCCTCAAGGGGACACCCCCACCTCGGTCACTCATCTGGGGGAAAGGGGACACGTCAGGGGCCCTCAAAGCTTAGTTTGCCATCCTCTCCCCCAACTCTGACACCCCCCGATCTTCCCATGGTATTCCCCACTGGCAAGGCCAAGGGCCACATACTTTGATGGATAGATCTTCCTCACCCAAGGCCACCATAATCTTGATAGGAGGGAGAGTGAGGCTGGACTCGTGGCTTTCTACCGTGGCCCGCATGGCATTCTGGGGAAGAGAATGAGGCACAAGCTGACTGACAGACAAGCCCTAATGATGCCCCCACAAAGGGCCACCCTGCTCTCCTTACCTTAAAGAGTTCGAAGAGCATATGGTAGAGGTGGGAGGGGACGTAGACCATGTGAATGGGCTGGGTGGTATTGGCAGCTGTGAGAGTCAAGGCCAAGATGAGAAACTGTTCACAAGTCACCTCTATAACCTTATCCAGATGGGGACCCTTGTAGACCTTCCCCCTTCTTCTATTAGGAATGGACAGTTCTTCCTAATGCTATACCTGAGCACATGGATGCCCAGCCAGAAGCTAACCCCCCAGATTCCTCTGCACTGGGGCAGCTAGTGACCCATGGAAGCCATGTGTTCAGTCCTGGTACAGCCTCCTTCCTTGCGCCAGCTGGAACCAAGGACTAGCGGTGGGGCACCAGCTCTGCGGTTAGCCACCCAAAACCCACCAAAGCCACTAACAATTGGGCTTAGGGGATGCAGCCAAATTGATATCCCACTGATATAATCTCCTCCTGGTCGCTGTCTTCTTACTACTCCATTTTATTTTCTTCCTGTCACCATGTGTATTTATTTGTTCATTAGTTAAATACTCCATCCCCCAAACAGCTCAGAACCCAGAATGTAAGCTCAGTGAGAACAACGACCTTGCCAGTCTTGTTTACATACAGTCTTGTTTCCAAATACTCCATAGCTACAGAATGAGTAATAATACAGTAGTCTCTCCCTCTCCAGATAGAAGTCCATGACCTGACTCCCATCTTACCTGTTTTCTCATGTCCCCAACCTTCCCTGAGATACACACACACACACACA